AATCACATTAATGAGTTCAGTCCATGGCCAGAAGAGATGAAGGGGTAATTAAACCAGTTTGATTATTGCAATATCTAAAGACTGATTAGTCTAATTTAGTCCACTTATTGCAATCAGGCCCGTTTTGATTAGGCAATTAAAACACAGGAGAAAAATCAATTTTTCTACAGATAGCAATTTGGCCTTTCCATACATTCTTTACCATGCAGTTCTTATGATGGTATTAAATTGTAATGTAGAAACCTCCAGATTTGACAGAACAAATAACTGCTTTATTTGCAAGAAGAGAGACATTGTGGGTGCTCATTATTTCAAAGAAACAGAGGAGGACTAGAAGTCAACATCATCTTCTTCACGCTATGACACAGTTCAGCCCTCCTCTCTCAGACTATTGACCAAAGTCAGATAAAACTATAAGGAAGCATGCACAATTAATGTTCATCTTTGCTCTTCATATTATATATAGAACAGTACCTTTTGAAACACCTCTGCAGAAGTATTACTAATATGCTAAATTAGTTTTAACACATTTAATTATCACAATAGGTTGATAAGTTCAATGTTCATATGGCATTGCATTTACAACCACCGATACAAAAGTAGGGGATACAAGTAATAAAGGTTATACTTTTTCATAAACCATGTGTATCACTCCACCTATACATCTATTCATATAACTATACAGTATTCAGTAGTGGTAATTATCAATAATTACATGTAGGCTAATAATAATTTGCAGAATAAGTAAAATTTCATGTTGCATGCATCTATATAAAGTTCTATTATATAAAATAAGAAGAGGCCCATGGACATAACACTCACCTGAGTCATTTGGCCCTGTTGTCCTTCATCAGATTTTCCCCTTTTATACATGTGCATTCATATGTAAAATTTTGATTCGCCTTTTGTGGCTCAATCCTGTAGACAGGGGCCATAATAAAATTGAATCTTAACACTACCAGATGATGCTACTTTATGATCAATCAGGGCTTTGCTGTTCTTCAGAGAAGTTTCTAAAATCTTTTCCTATAAACTCCTATGTAAATTTATGATCATCTATTGTGGCCCCACCCTATCCCTAGGGTTCAAGATTTCATCAAACTTGAATCTACTCCACCTGATGATGCTTCCACACTTAAAAAAATGATTCATAATGGCTTTACTATTCTTGAGAAGAGGAGTTTTAAAGTATTTTTCCTATAAAATCCAATGTAAAACTTAGATTGCCTATTGTGGCCCCACCCAACCCACGAGGGCTATGATTTGAACAAATTTGAATCTACATAACCTAAAATTGCTTTTTACATAAAGTTTTCACATAAGTTTCATCTTTTCTTGCGCAGTCACTTCTTAAGAAAGAGATTTTTAAAGATTTTTCCAATATATTTCAATGTAAAACTTTGATTCCCAATTGTGGCCCCACCCTACCCCTTAGGGACAATGATTTGAAAAATTTAGAGTCTAAATTATCTCAGAAAGATTCTACATAGGATTCACCTTTTCTGGCCCAATTGTTCTTGAGAAGAAGATTTTAAAAGATTTTTCCTATATGTTTTAATGTGAAACTTTGATTCCCTATTGTGGTCCCACCCTACCCCTGGGGGCCATAATTTGACAAATTTAGAATCTACACTACCTCATGAAGATTCCATATAAGTTTCACATTTTCTGGCTCAGTGGTTCTTGAGAAGAAGATTTTTAAAGATTTTTACTTTATATATTTTTCAATTTAAATCTTTGATTCCCCTTTGTGGCCCCAACCTACCTCCTAGGGGCAATGATTTGAATAATTTAGAATCTACTCTACCTCAAAAAGATTCTACATAAGATTCACTTTTTCAGGCCCAATTGTTCTTGAGAAGAAGATTTTAAAAGATTTTTCATATATATGTTTTAATGTGAAACTTTGATTCCCTATTGTGGCCCCACTTTACCTCTGGGGGCCACAATTTGAACAATTTAGAATCTACACTACCTCATGAAGATTCCATATAAGTTTCACCTTTTACTGGCTCAGTGGTTCTTGAGAAGATTTTTTAATGACCCCACACTATTTTTGTCTTTTCTTGATTATCTCTCCTTAAAAGGGGATTGGCTCTTCATTTTAACAATTTAAACTCCCCTTCACCTAAGGATGCTTTGTACCAACATTGGTTAAAATTGGCCCCATTTTTCTTGAGAAGAAAGGTTGAAAATGTGAAAAGTTTACAGATGGATGGACAGACAGATGGACATCAGGTGATCAGAAAAGCCCAGGTGAGCTAAAAACATACCTAATAAATGCTGTGCATGTTCCCTGCAGCACTGTTGGTCTTTATGTGACCTCAATGGGGTTTTCCAACCCATGCAGATGAATTTATATAATTTGTACTAGTACTTTTAATTAATTTGTATAAAAGAAAATGTTAAGCATGACTTTCTAATTAACAATTTGTAGTACAGGTGACTTCATATAGCTGAACCTCTATCTCTTCAATTTCTTGATCTCAGGCCCTGGATCAGATTTTTATTCCTTGATAAATCAAGCAAATTCACTCTCAGTATGTAGAACATTTTTCTCTAAGGCCAGATAAAATTAATCTTTAGATTCTCCTCCCTGCCTGCCCCTCTCAAAGTGTCACTGCTTTTAGCACAGGGGCATGTGGAGAGCAAAAAGAGTTCCAATGTTCCTCAATTAGTAAGTTATGGACCAGACACAAATTATATGCTTTTTAAACATTGACATTAAACTTGCCCAAATTACTTAAAATCCTCCATATTTCACTCTCTATAACTCAAGGCAGTTAATGGTTACACCAAGTCAGTCTTCAATATGTATCAGTTCTAATAAGCAATGTGTGGTGTTAACTAGTTTTAAGTAGAGGTACTGTAATTGGAACTCACAAAATTAAAAGCCCAAATGACCTTGGGCTGCTTCAGATCATCAGGAATCTTTGTATGCAGGGTCAAGGTCATGAAACACTCTCAGGTCACAAACAATCACTGTGTGAAGTTTGACCTACCTATTTTTCTCCATTACAAGATATGACAAGGATGGGAATTATGTTTTTTTCTGAAAGTGCCATGAACCTGACTAAATGACATGGGATCAAGGTCCTGACACACACTCGAGTCATATGTAATCTTTGTGTGAAGTACAAACTTCGATCATAATCCATAAGAAAGTTACGGTCAGGACATGATTGGATGGACAAACAGACAAGGTGATTCCTATGTTTGCTGGAGATATAGTAAATTTTTTTGGTCTAAATAATGAAAGCAATTGCATTAAATTAGTTTACCAATTGAAGAAATTCAATTTTTGAAAATGCATACAAAATAATTTTTTTAGACATCTGATCTCAAAATATTTTCAATACCGTAAATCTGGAAATTTTTACGTCGATTTATTTTTGCAAATTTGGGTCAAAAAGCTGTTGATTAATTTTTAAATTAATTTTCAAATTAATAATAAATTTCAAAATTTTGCGAATTGTCATTAGGGCTAAAATTAAAAAGACAATTAGTGCTTAACATTTTCATAACACTTTATAAATTACATGTACGCATGTACATGTACATACAATAAATCACGCATGTACATACAATTTTAAACGATGCCAATGTTCAATACTCAGATAAAAATATTAGAAGAGGTAAAACATCTAAACTGTTTAAAGTTTTCTTATACTTTATTAAATCAAATCTCGTTAACAATCTGTTGTAAATGGGTTTCTTAAATGACCACTGCTTACGAACACTTGTTCACTTAGTTAAAAATAGACACTAGCTGTCAGCAAAATTTTTGTTGCTGATTTATTTTTAAAATATTTTTGCGAATGCACTGCACACGTAAATTTGCTAAAAATTTATCTACAGTAAAAATTTCCAGATTTACGGTATACCATTGAACTTCAAGTTCTTGAACTTCTTAAGTAATTCTTCAATCATTTGACAACTCCATTCTACTCAAAACATATTTTTACATACCAAACTTCTTTAAAAAAAATTGCTGAACTAAAATTATAATTAATGAAACAAATTCGTGCTTGCACAAAAGCAAAAACCATCTTACAAATGACGGTTACTGCCCTTTAAAGAACGCATCCTGAAGTTGGGAGCACATTTAAGCCAGCTAGAATTCAGATCTAAGGAGCCTTCTATAATTAGCACTGACATATGCAATACCTTGATATTAAAATGTGGCATTAGTTTGATTACATTTGTTTCATTATAAATGTTATGAACTCTGAAGATGCAAACTGTGAGATTTCAATTAATATATGTAACATGTCAAATTAATCATTACCTATACACACATAACTTAACAGACAACAAGTTGATTCACTGTTCATTTAAAACATAGGTGTGGGTAATGATTGGGTTTATCTGTGTCGATACCTGGAAATGCTATTAAACTTGAAGAATTAAACAGATCTATAAAGGAGAAAACCTGTCTGTGATAAATTAACAAAACAGAAGATAACAAGAAATAGCCTTCCATTCTATAATGACAAATTTTATGAAAAACGGGCAGGTGCATCAAATTGTGTGGAATCTGATAATCTAATTTGACCCCATACTGACCCTCTTAATCCTGATGAAAGCCCCCAAGTCAATTTTACTAGTCAAACAGAGAGAAACAAAGAGGCTTATCAGATACATCTATTGTGTGGCACAGGTTTGGTCAGTCTCGGACCAAAGGTGTCAACCGTGTCTAACTATCAGAGCTCCAGCAGACGACCCCATCTCCAAATCAGGCAAAATCAAACCCCAAAATATTTTTACCTGAACAGGTATTTTTTAAAAAAAAGAAAAAAGAAAGAAAGAGAAAGTAACCAACATGTAACCCAATTTAATGATCCATCACAACACCTGAGGAAATATTAAATACAGATACAAACTGTATCAACTTTTTTAATAACAATTTTTTAAATACTTTTATTGATACAGAAGTCCACATGTTGACTGAAATGCTCTATTTATAGCAACTCTGATCAGCTGGTTGATAAAAGTCTTACCTATATGTACATATACAGTCCTTCTTGGAAACTCCTTGAGAATTCACATCTTGCGTCTTCCAGTGACAGACTCCTTATGCGACATGGCCCAGATCACAAGCCAATTGACCTATTAATGGAAGCAATCAATTAACAACCAACATCTAGAAAAGGTGCCAGGTAAAGTCAGGGTGTATCTCCCTTACCTAAGCCGAGTGCTGGAGTGTCGCACAGCTCTAGCTAACAAACAATGAACACAATTACTTGACCAATCTAGTTATACAGGATCTGAGATAATAAGCTATAAACACCTTCAATATTTGATTGCCATGCAATGTATTAATGGTGGGAAATTGCTCTGGCTCAATTATAATCTACATCACATGTCACTGATAGTTGTCAGTAATTAATTGTCACATGGCATTGTTAGTCTGAACAAAATGTGCCATCCAACATTTCACCCTTCCTAAATTGCCTATAGTTTCACATTACATTCACACACCTGAGACGGACAATCAAGGTACAGGATTGATCATTATAAAGACCAAAATCTTTCCCACATTCTTCATGTTGAACTTTACAGCACTTTTACAGACTTTAATACCATGTGTTCAAAATTAGTTCAATAATGATTGAGGAATAGTCTTTAAACTTACAATTCTTTTTCTTTTCCAAGACCTGTGAACCGAAGGTGAAACCCTCAAAAAGCCATTCATTGTTCCTTTATGTTTTTTTTAATTACCGGGTATTCATTAATGAAAAATCATACACAATTTACGATAATACAAAGCGTAACCCGAAGTTTTCGATGAGACTGTTCCTTTACTAATTTCCACTGAAGAAAACTTGCACTTGGACGGGTCTCATCAAAAAAAATTCATAGATATGACAACTCATCAATATGACATAAGACAAGTCATAGAATGAACATCTCACAGGTATGACAATTCATCTATGCTCAATAAAACTGATGAAAAAAATAATTCAAATAATGATTAAGTTTTTTGTTAACTCATTAAACAAAATACTCAATGTTTTCATAAGAAATATTTTGTAGTAAGCCCTCATTGTATTTTAGATAGCTTCTGTTGTCTATACCCTGGAAGAAAGTGAATATTATACAATTATGGACTCTTTTGGTGGTGAATATGGTTTGTTACTCACCAGAAAAATATCAATATTGACAGAGGCGAAGCCGAGGTCAATATTGATATTTTTCTGGTGAATAACAAACCATATTCACCACCAAAAGAGTCCATAATTGTTTTATCATATAATCAGGTTTTGAATGAATAAGACATTGAAGCCTGCATGACTACCGGTATACCCGTTTTCATTAACGAACCTCTGTCATAGAAAATTTAAAAAAAAAAATGTCCAGATTACATCTTGTAACTTCCGTGTTTTCCTTTTGCTGTGTGTAAGACATCAAAATGTTTGGAAAATAATCCTGCGATAGACTTGCCTAACATATTTCCTGCTCAGACACACAAGTGGCTCTGGCCGTTGTAACCATATTATTTTCAACGTTGGGGTGTTGACAATGCCGCTGCACGCGCACTGACCCTCCGGTGAACACGGCTTCAAATCCAGTGAATATGTAGTGTTATGAACCGTTTGCGTTTGTAAAGATTATATAGGGGCTATTTATAGACTATATAATAAACTTAAGTGCTGAGCATCGCGACTGAAAAATCATATTGCCATATATTGCAATATTATATTTTGTATTGCAATATTTAAGGAATGTGATCAAGCAATTGGCCTGCTTGATAATTTGCATAAAAGCCGAAGGCGTTTATGCATAAAATTATCACGCAAGCCAATTGCTTGATCATCATCATGAAACCGAAAAATTAGACAGTTATTCCTTATATTTACATGCTCTTGATTCCTTAAATTCACGTGCTACAAGCCCAGCTTACTTCTCTTTCTCTGTCTCTTCTCCTTCTCCCGCCCGCTCGTGATTTTATTATAACCACGCCTATCAATGAACCAGCAGCTTTATGCAGAAATCAAGTATGTTTACAATTTGTAGTTTTATTTCCAACAAATAAATTAAAAAATGTAAATATATTACAATATAAAAATCATATTCATTTTTGCTTTTTGTTTCCTCATATGAAAACACAAACGCAAATATCCTGTGTTCTCAAGTCGAGATCAACATTGCCTGGCTGTGTGGTGCCGGCACATGTGACTAGCTGAGTTTATTGTGCCACAAAAATCTTTTATAACCTCATTGCAATAGTGACATACAGTTTTAACTGGAAGTGTTTTCATGTACCAGCTGTTCGCTTTTTGTTTCTTATCAGTTCTGCTAGGTTTGCCGCCATATTTCACTTGAAAAAGGACAAGTAACTCTTTCTGCAACATTTTGTAAAATATCGAAGCTGAACTGGCGTTCACAAAAATTTCCAAGATACATATTGTGAACAACGAAATCGGGATTCACTGGTTAACCGGTAATGGTAATATCGCACAGCACTACTGCAGTATTTATTTTTTATAATTTCCTTTTTGCAGAGATCAATCTCGATTAATGTTTTTGAAAATATCCCAATATTCACACGGTCTGGGGATGGTTGTGTTCTTTTGTTTCTTCGACGAAATTTAATTTTTAATGCATCAATCCTTACAACCTTCCAATAAGACTGTGCAGATTTTATTTTGTCGCGAACATATACATATCCTAATCTATCTTTATTCATTTGAGAGGGAATAAATAAAAAATTGATCCCACCCTCAGGCATGTCTTGGATTAAATTGATAAAATACAACAAAAGAATGAAAAATGTTCAAATTTTTTTTATACTTTACTTATTTTACTATTATTCCAAACAAGTGACATCGATGAGTTGTTGTCATCCATGAGCTTTCTACAACTTGTCGTGTTGGTAAATTTATTTTCAATTAGTAGACTTTCGGTGATTTGTACCCTTCAGTGAGTTGTTGTTGCATGAGTTGTCCAGAACCCCACTTGGGACTTATATAACCCTTCACATATACAGAATTATGAATCATGATGAAAGTTTTGCCAAGTTCCACTGAAATCAGTCAAAATCTGAAGAAGACCATTTGGTAACCAAGGCAACACCATTCGTGACTTAAAAGGATAATATATTTTCTGAAAGAATTTCACTAATTATAATTTTTTTAGGAACCATGGTAACAACATTCATTAAAATGAAAAATAAAGAAATGGTCTTCAATTCAACATTTAGATATATCAACAATGTTTTATCAATTAACAATATTCATTCCTACATTGTTTAGATATATCCCTTTGAACTTGAATTAAAAGACACCACCAGAGTCTGACACATCTGCTTCATATTTGGATATTTTACAAGTAAAAGATGTTACTAGATAACCTAACAACAAAACTTTATGATCAATGTGATGACTTCAACTTTTCTATCATCAACTTCCCTTATTTATGTAGCAATATACCATTATCACCTGCATATGGAGTTGATGTCTCCCAGTTGATTCAATATGCAAAAGCATGCTCTATGTGCGAACAATTCCTAAAACAAGGCAAGTTTTTGAAAAATAAGTTGATGAAACAAGAACATCAACAGTCAACATTTTGTAAATTCTATGGTCGATACAATGACCTTGTCAGCAAATACAATCTTTCTTTAAGTCAAATGTTGACTGATGACTTTTGAACTGTTGGTGTTAGGGCTTTCATACTTCACATGTGTATTCCTCGTGATAAGACCTTTCCTTTGGTACAAATATTTTTGACCTTTTGACCTTGAAGTTTGATCTACTTTTGAAAATTTTTAACCTTGGACATAAATTTTGAATGCTTGGGCTAGAGCTTTCATATTTCACAGGTGTATTCCTTGTGAAAAGACCTTCCATTGGGTACCAACAGTTTTGACCATTTGTCTTGACCTTGGAGTTTAACCTACTTCAGAAAAACTTTAATCTTGGACAACTTTTGAATGGTTGTGCAAAGGCTGTCATATTTCACAGGTGCATTCCTTGTGACAAGACCATCTCTTGGGCACCAACAATTTTGATTTTTTTGTCTTTGACCTTGGAGTTTGATCTACTTCTGGAAAAAACATTAACCTTAGCAATAATTTTTTAATGGTTCAGGGCTAGGATTTTCATATTTCACATGTGCATTCACTGTGACAAGAACTTCCCTTGGGCACCATTAATTTTGACACTTTTGACCTTGACCTTGGAGTTTGACCTACTATTGAAAAACTTTAACCTTGGCTCTTACTTTTGAATGGTTGGTGCTAAGGCTTTCATATTTCACAGGTGTATTCTTTGTGACAAGGCCTTTCTTTGGATACCAACATTTTTGATCTCTTGACCTTGTCCATGGTGTTTGACTTGCATTTGAGAAATTTCAACCTTCGTCATGAGCTGCCATATGGGAACATCAGTGTTTCACAAACAAATCTTGTTTTAATATATAAAAGGCATGGAAAATCAATCTGCTTTTCAATTGGGAATTTTTGCTTTTATTTGGGGGGAAAGAAAGAGTCAATTTTCAATTGGGATAGGGTCCTTTTATCAGTCCCAATTGCAATGTACCTAAAGCCCTGAGGTTATTTTTTTTGCCTCTTTACACTTGCAATTTTACCCCATTTTAGATTTGCCTAGAAACAGTTGTGTTAAAGATATGTTTTCTTTATATTCACCCCATTTTAATTCCACCCACTTGCAACTAGGATGAAGGGGGCAAAAAAAAAAAAAAACGGGGGCGAAAATTTCCCTGTATGCAGTAATTATTTTGAACTTTTCTACTCTTATAATCAAATGATCCTTGAAAAGTGGTATTTATTTTAATCGCAAGTGATAATTGGTAGATAATTATCATTGTCTTGAGGTCATCCTGCAGGTGTACTATAAACACCCTGCTACACAGGTCATACATCCAAATCATTTAAATCGAACATTTGAGGGTAAATTTATTACAACATACGATACATTACCTATCATGGTCAAGTATTTGAGATTGAAAGTTTTCGAGATCGAGAAAATTTGCTTAGTTCAATTTGAAAAAAAATCTAGATCAGAGGCACAATTTGAGAGATCAAAAACTTCAAGAGATCAAAGTTTTAGCCAATCAAGTGAATCACCTGTACAATAATGAAAGTAAAAGACTCCAGTAATTATGCTTACATTCAATATAATTGTAATTTTTAACTGTATATCATCGAAATGTGACTAAAAATATTAGAGGCCCAGCTTTTAAACTTCATTATGAGTAACCAATCTACCACTGCCCTATTTACAATACGAGAAGCTAGTGTCAAAACAAGTCCTCTCTACATCTGTCAAGTACATCGTTGGTAAGCTAGCTTAAGTTTATATCTGAGTGATAAGAAGGGAAAAAGAGGTACATACTTTTGGAAGCAACAGTTCTTACTTAACATATACATTTCTTCCTGACTCGGAAACTTCATTCTTCCTTGAATGATAACCAATACCAAAAAGGCTTTTGAGGCAGAACAGGCTTGATGCGATATTTTCCATTAATTGCTGAATTTGAATAAAGCAATCCTAAGCCACATTTTTGCGTCTCTCACTAATGTAATGGAATAATGATGCAATTAATTGGCCA